TATATATATAAATATATATATATATATATTTATACAAACTTCGAATACATATTCCTATGCACGTGATTTTGTTGCGCAGCTTCCACCAATTGGGATTTTTTTATCTCCTGCAAAACATAACCTTCAATTAGACAAGAAAGCTATTTATAATGTGCAAAACAAATTAACAATTTTGAGTTTGGGTTCCTATTTGTTCAAACAAGAAAAAACAAAAGTAAAAGAGTAATACGTATGACGTATTTACATTCTATTCAATATAGACTCTACTCTAGGTATGAAATAGCCTAATAATTAGTGGGTCCTCGCAACTTGCCATCTGACCGGCACATGGAAGAATGAGACATCTATCGAGTGAACAACCTTAGGCCTTAGGGGTCATCTGACCGACTGTCGCAACACCAAACAACATGTAGTACAAACGTGTCGCGGGCTCGCGGCGACATTTTCAAGGGTGTACCGTGTACGTCGTTGACTCGTTGTCAGATGCCAACCCAGCTCTTGCAGTTTCGTGGCTTGCAGTTTTGTGTATATTAATTTATTCTAAAAAAAAATAAGCTGTGTGAGTATATTTGCGACATTCTTAAATACTGAGTGCTGTTTTGTGATGAAACCAAACGTCTGTTGCTATGACTAGACTGTGTTGTGCCTATAGCCATATCATGCCTGGTGCCTATAGTCGAATGAAATGGAACATCTATCGAAGTGGACAGCAGAAACGTGGACAAGTTTCGAGGACCACAGGCCACAATACATTTTGCGTTTCATTTGTGACGACTGTCACGGTGTCACCTGAGCGACCTGAAAAATGCACCTATCGATGAGATATAAAAGTTACATATTTTTTTTGCTCAGTGGTCATAATGTGTGGATAAAATTTTAAAAAGCAGAGCAGCTGATAGCCAGATACCAGGGAGCGGGGGCCAGGGCGCCAGGCGGCCAGGCGGCCAGTCCTCCAGTCGGCCAGGGGCTACATACTGTACTGTGATACTACTCTCTAGTCTCTAGTAGAGAGTAATTCTCCATTTACCGCCTAAACAAAAACAGCCAAGAGTCACTCCGACACTCTGACACTCAGTCACTGGAGTCTGGACTCTAGACTCACTGCCCAGTGCCCACACTGACAGTGTCCCACAGGGCCCACTCAGTGACACAGGGGTGAAAAAAAAAGCCAAGAAACATGTACACAAATTTTTACATTTCAACATTTGAACTTAACATTTGAACTTTTGAAACAGTTGTTAAAAAATAAATACAGACAGAATCGAGTCAATTGACTACATATTGAGAGAGAGAGAGAGCTGTTTTTATTTAAAAAATATATATATATAGAGAATCTGCAGCGAAGCTAAAAACGTTATCCTGAGCCCCTGAGGTCATGCAATAATCCCAAAATATCCCGATCAAAATCTAATTAGAAAAGCTCATTTTTCGTTGGAAAGTTGACCGTATATTTTAAAATATATATTTGTATGTACCTATCGTAACGTATTGAGCTTTAGTAGGTCTGCACTCTGCAGTCTGCGACTCTGCAACAGTCTGTAGACTGTATGTCTGTAACTCTCTGTCAGGGAAGTCTGCAATCTGAAACAGTCTGCACGATATTTTATTGTTTATCTCATACAGACATATGTACGCAATGAGTCACTGACATCTGGTCTGACTGCTGGCAGTCTGACAGGCTGACGGTCTGACAGTCTGACACACGTCATCACTGATCACACATGTGCTACAAAATGTGCTTATTGCACATTTTGGCAAGAATCCCGAAAGCCGGAAGAAGCCGCAGATGAAGTAGTGTCATTTTGTGACGAATACCTTTTTCACTGATGTCATAAATAAATACTATACGCTATACTCTAAAGGTCACTCTATAGTCTATACTCTCTATAGTATAAATTTAGAAGTAATTAGATATTACTATAAAAAAACTAAATAGGCTGGTGAAAAGCCAAAAGGAGTAGAGGAGAGTTCGCTGGAGAGTGGAGACTGGAATTGTTTACTCGGGAATCACGGTCGTATCTATTGGTTTAAAAAAATAATTTAACAAATGAAATTTGAACGTAGTCATACTCTCGTCGGTAGTCGGTAGGCGGTAGTGAATATTAAATATTTACAGTACTCTAGAGTACTCAGCAACGCAATTTTTACAAAACAAAAAACTGTCTGTCTATGTTCTGAGAATAAATACAGCACCATACATGCTGTCGAGTAGACTCGAACTGTTGATCCAATCTCGCATCATGTGCAATTGTGAATTCACAGATTTTACGATTTACACACAAATATATGGGTGATGCATTTGACAATGTAGAACAGAAAAGCATATTGCCAGTCTTGACTAAAGGTCGTAAAACATGTATCATTCATCTTTATCGATTGACATGGCTGATACACCTCCGGGTATCAGAGAGATTCACTCATCTCCCGACCTCTCAAAGGAACTAGACCGCCGATTACAACATAAGAACGGTTTTGGTGCAGACAAGAAATTGCTAATACGTGCACCAAACAAGCACATGATACCACTAAGTATTCTTTGCTTTGTTGTGATCGGGATCTTAACCTTATACAAAGGTGGCAATATCGTAGATAATGCCAGTAGTGACGCCTTAAACAATAGGGGGCAAAATATAAACGAGGAAGAAATATATGTTGATCGAGCACAGCAATACAGAAAGTACATACATGCAATAGACACGCACGGATTGCAGAGTTCATTATCGAGATCGACTAGATCTATCCAGAGTCACAGTGAGGAGCCTAAGATAGCATTTATGTTCTTGGAATCAGACGGACATGCACAGGACGAAATTTGGGATAGTTTCTTCGATCAAGCGGACTCAAGTAAGTATAACTTGTATGTGCACCGGAATAACCCAACACCAAACAGTGGCGACTTTCTCCAGCAGTATCCTAGTTACCACGAGGTATCCATCACGTCTTCTGCCTGGTGTGCGCTTATGGGTGTTCAATATAGCCTTGTTCAGGCGGCGTTGAGAGATCCCACTAATCAGCAATTTGTCTTTGTATCTCACAACGCAATTCCTCTAAAGAGCTTCGACTACATATACAATGATCTGGTCGTGGATTCGCCGAATACATCCAAGTTTTGCTTCACATCCATGGTGGGACAGGCAAATAGTGACTGTCGTTTCCAAGACTCGAGCCGCGCCGAGAGTTCGGATACGCTGAAACATCATCAATGGGTGATTTTGTCTCGCGATCATGCTAAAATCATTTTATACGAGAACGGCAGGTCATCACTCGATTATTACGATGCACTGCGCGATGTCGTAGATGGGCGCTACAACGATCCTAAGATGTGTTCAGATGAAACTGTACCAGCGATTGCACTAATACAAAGGGCAAAAGTCGAAGGAAAGATCTTAGATGATTTGAATTCCGAGGACGTTTTCACTGGTTTAGAGCAGATTGGCGTTGAACAGAGGTGTACGACTTTCGCGTACTGGGCCAGATGCTTACAAAAAACACCTTTTGACCTGGAGGTTGGATTCGAAAAGAGCCAAGGCGAGCTTGTACATCCACTGTCCATGTCTGGTGTAGAAGATACCTATTTGAAAAATCTGGTAACTCACCCATCATTGCTTTTCGCCAGGAAGTTCAACCAGAATGCAGTTGTGAAAATGAGAAGGGACTTGGAAGGAGAAAAGCGGGTTTACGATGCTAGATTAGAGGATATATTGCCCTTGTATATCCACAATATGACCGAGTTCGACCATGGGGCACTCGAAGAGAACAAACTCGCAAGACTGAATACGATAAAAGCGAATTCATCACTATTAATCAGGAATACCTAAGTGCTAGTACGTTCCCTTTACAAATACAGAATAAATTATCATAGCCAATCAATGGCACTATACACTTAAAATAAAGAGGAAACTTATGTTGCGATCTTATAATTGTGTATCACAACGCATGCTATGCACAATCCACGAATATGGTTCGTTATCAGAAGCCATAAAGTCAAGCTTTCTGATCTGTTGCAATGTATATCTGTATGCTGCGCGGCAAACTTCTAGCAGTCATCACTCGAAAGCGAGTTCCTGGGTTACTCAAAACCCTTGTGTTGAACACGATATGGCACAACTTCGGTGTTAAACACGATACATGGCACGACTTCGGTGTTGAACACGATATGGCACAACTTCGGTGTTAAGTTTTGGACATTCAATCGCTCCCCGGCAGCGAGCTTTCTTCAAAATCAACCGCGCTTCTCAAAACGGAGGTTTTATTCCATATTATACTATCTGAGATACTATTTCAGCTTACAGATGACATACACTTTGCTATGGGTGATCATCATTTGATCATCAAGTCTTTATTTACCTCTCTTTCCATAAAAGTGCAAATGTGTAGACCTGCTTCTAAATTTTACTGACACAAGTTGGACACCACACGTACGCCGAGATAGCCTTGAAAACGTACAGCGCGAATAATTTGAGTGGCAGCAGAAACGCTGAGATCCATAATTCACAATGAAGCTTGCCGTAAGTTAGTAGTGCCGACTACATGAGTGTCACATCACAACGTAGGTACTATCTGCCAAACTTGTCGGTATTTGTTTACCCAGCAACACTTTTGACTGTCCCCTTTCCCTCCCCCCTCCTATCGTACCAAGGACTATCTGGAAGCATTGATCTCACTGTAAAGTATGTGTCCGAAGCGATTGCACAAACCATTCGCGCTGAAGTGATGCAGTCGAACCACTCCACTTGGGCTGACATAGTTGTCAAGTGTGTATGCTAAAATTCACGCCTTAGTTAGGTATAAGTACGGTTGTGCGTCAATTGGGAAGCGGGTGGTGTCCAGCGTACCAATTGGGAAGAGCAACTCAAGCATCATTCCACCGAAGGACGCATACATTGCTAATTGGTCACCCTCTTTCTTCTCGTACCTGATATACATAAGCCAAAACAGATGTTTGAATGGACAGTAAACGCTACGTAACGGTTGCATGAAAGATGCCTCATTAAGTGGCAGAGGGTATAAACTATATTATCTCAGCGTCAAAACAGGAGCCACATGCGCTATTCAGAACGACACGTACGTGAATTTGCACGATGATCATACCTGGGCTATCATCCAAGCTCAATTAATAAAACTTGGTATGCGCAGCGGGAATCACTGATTGCAGAAACTAAGAAACGACACAAATTGTAAAATAGATTGCACTTACTTAAAAATCCGGCCGAACATCACGTAGGAAAATTCATCCATCAGGCTGTCGCTCTCTGAGATGGCTAGATCGACCTATGCTAACAATAGTTGGGACAATGAGTATAAAATCTCTTGCCAATTTTGTTTTAGTCCATGAAGAAACTGCTGCAAATATTCACAAATCAACATTGCACAGTAGGTATCTCTACATGACAAAAATACATATCCAAAGCAAACGCCAAGGGGTAACGAAAACACATTTACCAACTAGAAGCACATAACAAGTATTTAAAGTAAAAATATATATAGGTTTACGGATATAAAGGACGCATATTTTGCACATTTAAAAAACCGCATTCAACAATTATGAAAATCAACTAGTCAAATGAAGATCAGAATCGATATATATATATATATATATATATATGAATGATAGATAAATATATAATGTATGATGCGTATACACACAAGACACTAATTTTTTTCTAGGGTTTATAAATACATGCTCACATATATACTCGAGTAGTTTATATATACACATACAGATAAATCAATCAATAAATCAACCATATATATATATATAGAAACATAAACACAAACACACACAAACATAAATAAATACAAACATGCAGGCATGCATCTGTACATATGCATATAAACGAATGAACAAAAAACGTAATATATATATATATATATTGTATTTTTATATAGACACTACATATGTGTGTTAGATATACATACATATACACATGAATAAATGAATTAATGAACATACTACAGATAATAATGAAAATTTTAAATATATATATATTATTATGAGTTCACAATTACATACAAACAGACAAATGTAAAACAATCAACTTAAAAAGATTCAATGACAGAGATATACAAACATACATACATGCATATACACAGAGGAATCAACAAAATAACCTACGTATATATATATATATGTAAAAAATACAGATATACATGCCTGTATGTGGATATATGATTACATATGCATATGTAGATATCAATGAATGTATATATATATACATATATAAAACATGTATAATATATATTGACGCCAATACCCACATATATATACAATGACACATCAGTACATATACACAAGCATATATATATATATATTTATGTATATATAAATACATATGTATATATATATATATGTGTATGAATATTATAAATGTATATACACATGCCTTTAAGTGAATAAATGATTATATATACATATGTAAACACGTGCGCATATACAAATAATGTTTTACACGTCTTTCACATATCAGCGCACAAATCCACACCCATATATATATTTGTAACTCTATATACGCATATATATATATATAAACTTACATACGTACGTACATGCATATATGTGCATACATGTCTACATGTATACGTACATTCACATGTATGTAGATGTGTATGCAAAGGTATATATTGAAATCGATATACGCGTACATATACATACATATATATACATACATAGACTTGTGTATACCTGGATATATATATATGTGTATATATGGAAACCTAGGTAAATACAAGCATTAATAGACGTATATGTTTATGTGCACACACATATATAAATAAATAGATACATATATATAAATAAAAGTATTAATACATATATATATACATATATTTAAACAAACACATGTATATTAGATCATAGTTTATATATATCTATAAAGTACATATATTCTATATATTCACCCGCACACACGCACAAAAGTATATTATAAATATATATATATACATGGATACTACATACTTCCACACAAACATAAATTTGTACAGACAAACAAGCAAACATACAAACATACACACACATATATATATATAGATATATAATATAAATATAATTGACGTATTCATGCATGAATATCTACAAAAATGTATGTACGTAAATATATATATATATAGAGAGAGAGATATATATAAATAAATATACATACGTTCGTACATACATATATACATATATATATGTATGTGTGTATACATATACATATATATATACGTACAAACGAACGTATATATATATATACGATCAATAATACGTACCTATATGAATACTAGCAATCCTATAGACATGAATACATATATAAATATATATAGGTTTATGAATATATGTATATATACAGGCAGGTAGGTATACATATACACGTGTAAATAAATATATATATATATATTTGAGTACATGCATATATATATACATACAAATATTCAAACATACATACATCCCACACAAACACACACACACACACACATAAATATATATATATATCTATACCTCACACCACACACACACACACATATACACATTCATATATATATATATATATAAGTATGTATATTTATCAATTCATGTGCCGGTATATATATATGTATACACGTATGTTTTTCTGCATCTATATGGTCATACACACACGCACACACAAATATTATATATATATGTATATATATATATAGTTATACATATAAAAGTACGGAAGTGCATATATATATATATAAACGCAAGTACATATATGCATATACCCCTATATATATATATATATATACATATATATACATACATACACGCACGCACATATATATGTATGTACTTATATATATATATACATATGG